CTTTGGAGATGTCCTTGACAACAGACTTTCCCAAGGCAATATATCTTTTTATTTTTTACTGCTAATACCAAGAGTATTGATTGTGGATCCAAGTAATTAACCATGTTGTTATTTTTGGGTGCTTGTGAGCCAAGTACGCCTCATAGGAACCCTGTAAGTGACAGATCTGAACCCTGTCCTATCCTGTGCCATCCTCATATTTCTGACACACTTGAGTGACTTCTAATCTGGGCTCTAGTTCTAATACTATCTTCCTCTATTGTTTAGAGGCCTGTTATTTCAGAAGTAGATGGTGAATCCTGCTTCCTAGTCCGTCTTAATCTGGGAGCTCTGCTGAAACTTGTCCACCAAGGGTGACCCTTCTGGTATTTGGAACATCAGCGGCATAGCTTCCAGCATCACAGCAACCCACAAGTTACCCACAAGTGCTATACTAATAAGAGCAAACAATACTACCTGGTTATATCACTATGTGTATGTGTGTTTGCTATGTATTTCTCTTTACACAGTAACACATATTAAAGTATGAATTTATTTGAGGGTAGAGACTATCTTCTTTGAATCTACCGTATCCTAGGATAGAGCCTGGAACTCAACCAAACCTGCAGCCACCACATCCATGGCTATAATCATAGAGAAGTAGGTCTCATGAATCCTAACCCTCAACCTTTTGGTTAACAGAACAGACTGTGCTCTTGGCAAGTACTGAATACATATTGGCTGAATGAATGAATGAATGCTTGGATGAATGAGTCAACCAATAGGGAGTCTCAGACTGGTTCACTGACTGCTCCTGGCTCTTATCTGCTCTCCCATCCACCACTCACTGTTCTATCAGTGGGAAATCCTCTCATTCTCCAACATCCAGCTGAAATTTCATTTCTCGTTTTATGAGTACAGAAGACTCCTTCTCACAATGCAGCTGGCAAGAGCCACAGGGGCATGCAGGAGGCACATTCACTCAGCACCCAGCCTGCTCAGTAAGAGAACGTGGGTGGGATGGAGTCCCGTGGATACACAGCTTGACAGTGAGGAAAAGTGCCCCCCATCTGGGGCCAGCACACATGGCTTAGCAAGTGAAGCTAGGAGTGGATTTCAGTGCCATTCCCCACCCCACCTGCGCAGAGCCAACCCCTCTAGGGAAGATATCTTTGCCTGTCTTGCCTTTTCTCCAATTTTTTTGCCTTCTCTCCCCGCCAGTATCCTGATCAAAACAGGGTGCTGCAGTCATGTGCAGTCCCAGCTCCAGCAAACTGCTGCTGCATTTCCGTATGTTGTTGTCGGGTGCCAACAAGTGGATTCTGACTCATAGCAACCACCGTGAAGAACAGAATTGCCCCTTGGGATTTTCTAGGTTGTAATCTTCACTGGACCAGATTGCTTGGTCTTTTTCCTGTGGAGCCACTTGGGTAGCCAAGCCGTTAAACATTACACCACCAGAACATCTCGTGTTTCCTTATCATCCACACGCTCATTCATTGCCATTGAATTGGAACCGATTTCATAGCTGACCTCCCAGTGGGTTTTCAGAGGCTTTAAATTACTGGGAGGAGATTTCCGATCTTTCTCCCACAGAGCAACTGGTGGACTCAAACTGCCTGCCTTTGAGCTGGCAGCACAACTCTTATTAGGCCATCAGGGCTTTCTGTTTTCTTATAACAAGAGTTACTAACCTTTTCTGTGCTATGCACCTCTTTGGCCATCTGGTGAAGACAATATACCCTATCTCAGAATAATTTTATTTTTATCATGGTGCAGGAGTGAGCAGAATTGGAGCCATTTCCAAGGCATCTGACAGTAACATAAATGACATTATTCTTTATTTTGCTATTTTAAAGACTGATTATTAAGAATATACTCTTTTCTTTTTTAAAATTTTTTTAAAAGTTTACATTGGTTTGCATACAAAATTCAAGTAGTTTCCACTATCTTTCATTCACATTATGTTTCATATGATCATTCTTATTAATTATGTTTTATAAAACCAATCACCACTGAACTATGTTCACCATTACTTTCTTTCCAGATCCCTGCCAGATATTTCCCATTTCCTTTACCACCCCTCTCCCTCCATCCACCAGATTGTATGACCCTATGATTTCCCCCCTGCAAACCCTCACGCCACTGTTCCCACCCTACCCCACCGTGGATTTGTATACACATTTTACTAGTTATCCTTCTGTTTTTTACAATAATGGTCCTATGCAGTATTTATCCTTATGAGACTCAGTTAGTTCATTCAGCATAATGCCCTCCAGTCTCTCCCAAGTTATGTAGTAATTTTCAAAATCATTATTTCTCAGAATGGTTCTCTCCCTCTCTCCCACCCCTTCGTGCCCCTTGTGGTTAAAAGGGCCGCCTGCAGCGGGCTGAGGCCCCAGTCATGCTGTTGCGCTGCAATCTCAGAATGATTTTAAAAGACTGGAAAGGAAACCAATGACATTAACAATTATATTAAAATACAGTAGATGGATTTATATTAACAATGATATTGAAATACAGTGAGATGGTGATAGATAGCTTTTTAAAATTTTTCTGTTAATTTTTTATAAGTGAAAGTTGACGAATTATGTTGGCTTTTCATTCAGTTAGGCAGACATTGATAAACGACATTTATATGGCCTTTCTCACCTTGGCCTTGTAACTTTTGCCAAATTTTTAGATGTGACTGTGCAAATAAGGTATTTGTGGTTTCACTCAAGGGGGTTAGATAGCTTACCAAAAAATGCAAATAGGGTACATGGCATCCCTTTGAGGATGTTGCTATTGTTGTTGTGTGCTATCAAATTAGAACTGACTCATAGCTGACCCCCCAGCAGGTTTTCAAAGACTGTACATTGCAAATGGAGGAGCCAGCCCTCTTTCTCTTGCGGAGCAGTTGGTGGATTAAAACAGCATGCCTTTGGGTTGGTGGTGCAAGTCTTTACCCCCTAAGCCACCAGAGCTCCCGCCCTGTGAGGATTTGTTCTCACAAATGACTCATAGCAACCCTGTGAAGAACAAATCCGAGCCCTAATTCTGTGCCATCCTTCCCATCCTTGTTACGCTTGAGTGCAATGCTGTAGCCACTGTACCAACCTGCTGACCCTCCACCTTTCCAAGCACGATGTCCCTTTCCAAGGACTGGCATCTCCTAACAACATGCCTGAAGTATTTGAGAGATGAAGCTTTACCATCTTGCCTCCAAGGAGCACTCTGGTTGTGTTTCTCCATACCATAACTCAAAGGGATTGATTCTTCTATCTTCTTTATTCGTTTTTCAGCTCTCAGCATAGCAAGTGATTGAAAAGACCATGACCTGAATCAGGTGCACCTTAGTCTTTAAACTGACATAATTGCTCCTTAGTACTTTGGAGATGTTCTTGACAGCAGACATTCCCAATGCAACATGTTTTCTCATCTCCTGACTGCTGGTACCAAGGGTGTTGATTGTGGATTGAACCAAGATTAAATTGTTAAAAATTTCAATCTTTTCTCCATCAGTCATGATGTTGTTTATTGGTCCAGTGGTGATGGATTTTGTCTTCTAGGTGTTGAGATGTAATCCATCTTAAGACTGTAGTCTTTGGTTTTCTTCAGCAAGCCTTTCAAATCCTCCTAACTTTTAGCAAGCCAGGTTGTATCATATGCATAACACAGGCAGTTGAAGAATCTTCCTCTGAGCCTGATCCTACAATCTTCTTCATAAAGTCCAGCTTCTTGAATGATTTGTTCAGCACACAATTTGAATAGGTATGGAGAAATAATATAACCCTGAGCACACCTTTCTTTATTTTGAGCGATGCAGGGTTCCCTTGCTCCCTTTAAACAACAGTTTCTTGATCTGTGAGGATAAAACTGTACAAGTAAGATAAGGTGTTTGGGACCCTAACTTGGGACTATTACCAAGAAAGAAGTGACAAGAGCAGAGTGTGTCTTTTGGATTGAGATCCCAGCACTGAGAACCTCTTAGACCCAGGAGAAAGAATGAGAGAGCATTGTAACACTAGAGAAAGTGAGAAACAGCAGTGACAAAAATGGCAATAGAAGCAGCTGACAGGCGCATTGGGCTTCCCAGCCCACAGAAAGAGAAATGTGAGGGACCTCTGGTGGGAAACTTGCCAGCTGAGCAGGGTGCCTTCATCACTTCTAGGCAGAGTCAGGCTACTTGACTGAGCAAGAGCTGAGCACCTTTGGCCAGAAGCTTACTGTGGAATCAGGTGCTTATGCCAGGGTTAAAGATCTCTGCTGTCAGGTTGGAACTGACTCTTAGCTGCTCCTCCAGTGAGTTTTCAGAGGTTGTAAATCTTACAAAAGATTGCCTATCTTTTTCCCCAAGAAGCCAGTGGTGGATTTGAACCACCAGAGAGACATGGCCTTTGGGTTAACAACACAACTCCCAAGGTTACCAAAGGTGGCAACTACGCCACCGAAACTGCCATACAAGCCACAGGTAATGCTAAACCTTCTTTGGCTTATTGCTCAAATACCTTACAGATGCTAAATTTCTATTAAGAGATGAATGGAAATACACACACATCTAGGCCTGTACAGATGCAAGATTGCATAGTGTTTCATTCTTTTGTACGTAGAACTGCCATTAATCAGAGGTGGCCTGATGGCACCTAACAACAGGCCACAAACTCCAGGAATTTAATATACTTCAGTTAAGAACCTCTGATTATAGGATGGATGGGAGATGGAGAAAAGCATCATTGATTGAGCTTTATATTCTTTATGCCATTTAATTCTTCATTTAATCCTGAGAGAGGTGTATTATTACCCAGTCTTACTGATGGGCTGAGGCTCAAAGGGGCTCTACAATTGCCTGTAGTCTCTAGGCCTAACTTTGAAGCCCCTGTACCTCCCTCCACACTGAGCTCCCTTAAAGGAAATGAGCCAAAGACAGGGCCCTCCTGTACCTGAGCCCTGTGACCTGTGGGGTTTGACCAGTTTAACAGGAGAGTGACAGCCCCTTGAAATCACACACACACTCACTCACTTATTTTTATCTCTTTATTTTTATTTTTTTTAGACTAAGAGCAGAGTATGAAAGTCACAGCCAAAGCACTTGAAAAAGGCCCAGGAGGATGGGTGGGGGCCACATTGGGTGGGCAGGACAAGGTCCTGGGATTAAGGTTTGGCTCAGGGCTGAAGGGGAGGGGTCATTGTTGTCTCACTGTCTCCAAAAGTGTCTGTGCGTTGCATAGGTCCTGTCTTCACAGAAGACAAAAGAGGGGCCAGGGGATCCCCCACGGGGGCCTAGCCTGGTGGGGAAGGGGTCTGAAGCTTAAAGGGGAAGTCAAGGTAGGTCAGGAGGTTAAGGATGGGGAGGAGTTCTGTCTGACTGTACATTATATATAGAGAGATATAGAGTCTGTACATGCCTGCCTGGCACCCCAATGCCCACCCCTTGCCACCCTTGTCCACTGCCTTCCCCCACAGGGTGTCTACTTGTAAACTTGGATTCAATCCAAACCATAATCTTGGGGGGTGGGAGTGAGGGGAGGAGGACATGCTTATTGCTGTAAACAGGGAAAGGGGGCAGCGGGCGGTGCTACCCCCTTGCCATCTAGTCCCCTCCCCACCTTCTGCCCCTGCAGGAGAGAGTGGGGGGTGCCTCCCACAATTCGATTTACTCCCTCCAGGGTGTATTTGTCTCTCTGAGAGGACGAAGGGGGAGGGTGCCAGGGGGCAGGAAAAAGTACCAGGGGCCAGGGAGTCCTGAGCACTGCCCTTTATGGCCCCCTAATTTGGTACCGAACATTACCAGAGCCGCAAGGCCACCTGGGGCCTGTGGCTGTCCCTGCACCTACAGTGCCTGCCTGGAGGAAGAAGAAAGAAGGGGCAGGCACAGATGTTTGGTGCAGACCCCACTTCCAGCCATTGGTGTGGGAGTCTGGGCCCCCTCTGTTTCCCTTGAAGAGGCCAAAGTCTCCCTGCTCCTTTCCAGCCCGCCCCATCTCTCCCTGCCCAGAGAGGGGACAGAACTAGGAGGCCAAGAGTGTCATGAGGAAGAAGGCGATGCCCACAGCCAGGGGCAGGTGTTCCCGCTTGGGGCTGGTCCCGCTGATGCTCTTCTCAAGCTTGGGCACCTGGGGGTTCTCGCCCTCAAAGTCCTCTGTGAACAAAAAGATAAAGAGACTGGTGAGGACTGGGCTGCGCGCCGGGGTAGGGGCACGCGGCAGCGGCAGCAGCAGTGGAGCTGGGGACGTGACCACCCACGGGGTAGGAAGGATGGTGTCTCCAGGGTAAGGCATGCGAGGTGAGCAGGCACCAGGGAGGGGGCTGCGTTCTTGCAGAGGCCACCAGAGGGCGCTGCGCAGACTCACCCAGCACGTTGATCTTCACATTGGGGCCCATGGTGAACTGGGGGAGAGTGGGGACCGGCTTCTCCCCGGAATGCGATGCTGCGGGGTGGGGTGCGGGTGGGGAGAGAGGAGGGGAGAGTCAGGGCCAGGATCCCTCCCCCCACTATAGCTGGGCAGCGAGCCCCCCTCGCCTGTGTCCTCCGCCCCCACCCCCAGGAAGCCAGGGGAGCCCCAAAGCAGGGGAGCCGAGGAAGGGGGTGAGGCTGGGAGCCAGTTATACTCACTAGAGGCGCAGCAGACGAACACCTTCATCCTCAGACACTTCCAGTGCAGGTTGTGGGTGGGCGTGGCTGGGGGGGTGAGACTGAGACTGAGTTTCTTTCTCCCAATTCGCGCCCCGCGCCCTCACTCAGAAACTCTCATCCTCTCTCAAAGAAGGAGCAGTCTCTTACAGTGGCTTCTGTCAGCCCCTGTATACTGATCACTAGGGCTTTAGTCGATTTTTTTAGCAGCTCCTTCGAAACATTCCTCAGAGAAACACTGCCTCTACGGCCCGAACTTGAATTGTCTCCTAAACCCCTCTCTCAACCTCATGGCCTTCTCAGAGCTGAAACTCTGGGGTCCTTAGTACCCAAACCCCATCCCCCCAGGTGTCACGCGAAGACACCACCCCAGCCCGCTGCACGTGTGGCTCCGCCCCTAGTCTGACACTCGCGCTGAGCCCCGCCCCGCCGCACGTGTGGCCCCGCCCCCAAGCCGACACTAGCCCTTGGCCCCGCCCCGCCGCCTGGGCCTCACTCACAGATGTAGTAGTACTCGTGGCCGGCGTGGAACTCGTATCCCAGTGAGAAGGCGCTGTAGCGTTGGAACTTCTCCGAGAACTTGATGGGGCTGTGGGGGGCGTGCGGTCGGTTGCACTCCCAGCGCTTGAAGCCTTGGCTGGCGTTGCAGGTGCGGTAGCCGGCCCGGCTCACCATATACAGCACGTACTGCTCCGCCCCGCCTCCGGGGCCCGGCCCCGCCCCGGGGCCCACCCCCGAGGTGTTGTAATGTGGGCAGTAAATATCCAGATAATCATTCACGTTCACCTGCACGGTGTAGCCTTCTCGCCGCAGGCTGAGGTGGGGGAAAGGAAGCAGGTCAGAAAGAAGAAACCCCAAAGCCAACCCGCTTTCCACTTCGTCGCTCCGCAGACTTTCCCAGGGTCCCCAGAGCCTCCTGCTCCTCAGAGCCTCTTCTCTTACTAGCTCCAACCTCTGTCCCCAGGGCCCTAGTGCCTCCCGATCCCGCACTACCCTTCGGGGCTTTCTCCCTCTCTTCCTGTCTTTCCCTTAGTGGCCGCCAGAGGGTAGCAAAGGCGCAGGGAAGCCCGGCCCTGTCACCAAAAGGAAAAGAGGCGGGAGGAAAGAGGAAGGGAACGTATGCTTTGGTTACCACAGAAACGGCGCAGGCCCCAGCGACTCCCAGACCCAGGCCCGGATTTCCTCCGTCCATCCCCCATAATTCACTGGCGGGGAAGAGGAATAGGAGGTATGCGAAGGAAGGGTGAGAGTGGGAGGGATCCCTTTGGAAAGCTGGTACCCTCCACCTCCTCTTCCAGCATGCTTCTTTGTTGCTGCCAGTCCACCCCCAAGGCCAGTCAAGTCCGACAGGACTTGCCCTCTCATACGTATGTATGGAGGCTTCATGCATATACATGCATAAGTTCTATGGCACACACACAAATATGTCCACCGCCCACTCGTAGGCGGCATACACATAGAAAAGCTAGTCTGGGTATGTGCTGGATTGGCATGCCGGTATTGGTTAACCCCCAGCTGCCTCAGATTCCCTCCCTGTCCTCCAAACTGCCTCTTAGGGCAGCCTTCTTGAGTAATCCCTCTTACTCTTGGACACAGGTCATTATGACTCTGCCGCCAGTCTTAGCGGCCCCCCCTGGGAATGCCCCTCACTGATTCTGTGGTCCAAACTTGGACAGACTGTTCTCAAAATCTTTCTCAGCCTCACAGCCCTGAGTTGAAACAGTATGGTCTCCCAGTTTACATGCCTTACCTTAGAGTATCACACAACGACACACACACATACGTCCTCTGCACAGCACCATCAGTACCAAAAGCATCCACTAATCTCCACTCTGAGACCTTGGACACTTGTGTTGTTGTTAAATGCCATGAAGTTGGTTCCAACTCATAGTGAACCCATGTACAAAACCACAAAACGCTGCCTCATCCAAAGCCCCCTTCACAATGTTTTAGCCTATTGTTGCAGCTGCTTGTCAACTCATTTAATTGAGGGTCTTCTTCTTCACTGATCCTCTATCATGGACAATTAGATCCCCAAGAACCTGACACAGTTGATCAGGGAGCTAGGGGACTCAGAACTAAGGCTCCACCGGCATCATGCCAACCAGCCAAAGCATCTGTTTCATTATCCACCTCTCTGTTCAACTGGGCACCCCAGGCCCCTCTGCGATGTTTGACAGATGAATGGGCATAGTGCCCAGACAAGATGGCTTCGTCTCTTAATTCTCTGATATTATATGGGACATAAAAACTTATTCTGAGTTTCCAGTCACCCCTAGCTGCTTCACTAGTCAATACCAAAGTGGTGGTCTTACCTCCTATGTGGTAGATACGCAGTGGTGTGGGTACAGGAGAAATCTCAGAAGAGAGAAAGGAACTCTGATAAGTGGGTAGGGGTCTTCCCTCATTTTCCTAGGGTAGGAATGCACACATATCGCCAATAGCAGTGATGAGGAGTGTAGCAGACACAAGAAGGTATGGGGGTACTTGGTAAAATGTAAAACTACTGGGGTCCCCATTCCCTGGGAACTCCCTGAGGGGAGGGATTGGCTTTCCATGTCACCAGGCACCTCCTAGTTCCACGAACAGTAATTAGATTCATTAGGAAAATGACCTTGGAGGCCTTTGCTTGGGGTGGGGCACTGGAGATCCCCTCTTAATTTTACCCTGCTTCTCTGACTTGCCTGTGCTGCCCCCTCCCCAGATATCCTTTCCAGGCCTGGTGGTGAGGCAGACAGGTGAGCGCTGATGTTTGGGCACTGGAGTAAGAATGGGCACAGCCTCTTTGAATCATCAGGAATGCCACCAGCCCCACTCGGTTCCCATGGGAGTGATGGGTCACTCGGCCCCTCCCTGGCCCTGGCTCTCGGGTGGGCAGGAGTCTCAGCCTGGGGCACAGGGAGCAGGAAAACAGGTTAGACAAGGCCTGACTCCCAGCCGCCACCCCAAGAATGCTTCTCCATCTCGACCCCCCAAAGTCTTCACCAGTAGCAGAATGTCAGCACTGAGAGATTGCACAGCCACACTGGGGTCTCTGTCCTTGCTCTTTTCCCAGGTTCCTGTCCTATTCATCAGGCCCTCCCTGCTGCACCTCCCAATTCTCCTACAACAAACACACTCCATTCCAGCAAAAAGGGAGCTGACTCTAGAGATACTCCTACAGGTACCTCAGTTTTCTCAGAGGATTGGGTAGTTACTTTATAGAAAGATTGCTGGGTGACCACAAATGAAGGGGAGTTACCTCTTACCCATCCCTGTGCTGGGTGACAGTAACAGCACCAGAAATGCCCCTCCCCCGCCAAAGCTGGGCGTATGGCTTATGTGCCCGGCCAGTGTCTGGCCGACAAGTGGCAGAGGGGTTGGTGCAGCAGTTCCTGAGAGACCGGGGTGTCTGCGTGGCTTGGGCACTTAATTGAATCTGTCATACTCCCTCACCCAGGTTGTGAACAGGGAGGTGCCTCTAGACCAGGCCCAAGCTCAGCAGTTAACTCCACCTCCAGAACCTCACCTCCCCCTACGTAGAGCCGCACCCCTCCCCCTCGGGGATTGGGATCTGGGGACTGGGACATGCCCTGCTCCTTGAAACAATTCTCCATTCTTCTCTACTTCATCCTCTACTTGCCTCCCACCTCTCTAGCCAAAGGCGAGTGTCGACATAGCCCACCTGGCTGGGGTGCCCCCACATTTCCGTTACATAGGTTTCTCTCCTGGGGCACATCTCAACCTCTCCCCTTCACATCTTCAGCACCCCACCCGCTGACTCTAGGTCCCACTCTGCTAAGGGTGCAGGGAGTAGGGAGCTAGCCTCTTCTCTCCCATGGGGCAATTAGGAGCTGGTAAACAGGGTATCTAACAAGACTTGGGAGTGGAGAAAGGACATTAGAGCTCCCTCCCTCCCACCCACCCCCGTTTGTTAAATCCCTGTCCTCGCCCCAGACTCCTGCAGGAAAATCTAAGGTAGAGAAGAGGTGTAGAGGCAGGACCCCTGTTCTCCTCCCTCTAGCGCGCGTCCCCGAGGCTGCGCGCAGTCCGATCCACCAGGCGAGGCCAAACCACGTGTGCGCGGCGTGGAGTCCGCGCTCTGGGGCGGGGGTGGGGGTGGGGGGTGGAAGAAAAAAGCGCCCCCGGGAAGCGCGTGCACGCTGACACCCCTGCGCCCTCCAGTCCCCCTCGGCCACGGCGCCCCTTTGAGCCAGGTCCAGGCCTGGAGCTTTCCCGACCCACGTCGCGTAGGGAAGAATCAGCGCGCCCGACACCCCCGCCCCTCCTCCCTGCGACAGCGGCGGCGGCGGCGAAGGTTTATTGATCTGCAGCGTCGGAGAAGAGCGAGAGACCCGCCGAAAGCGAGACACACAGAGATTCACAGAGACACACACAGACCAAGACTCACAGAGATTCAGAGAGCAGACTGACAGAGAGGAGAAAGGGAATGGGGCAGAGCGAGGTGCAGGGGGCCTGAAACCTAGACACAGGGGGAGGAGCGCGGAAAGAACCTGGAAGAAAGGGAGAAACATAAAGACTGGTCCAGAGAGGCCCGTGGGCAGAGAAGACAGTGACAGGGAGACGCAAAAGGAGAGAACTGGGAATCGAGAAGAGGGCACAGGGAGACACTCGGTGACAGGCATAAAATAGAGAGGGAGACACCAACAGGGACACAGTAGAGCCTCAATAAATATTTGTTGAATGAATGTATGAATGAAAGAGAGATCAGCAACAGAAACATTTCAGAGGTAGACAGGAAGGAAGACAGCTAGAGGAAGAGGCTTCTTGAGACAGGGGCGAATACCAACACCTTCCCTCAGTTCTGCAATGAAATAAAGCACAGGCAATGGGGTATATATGTGGGCACAGGCCAGCTTCCCCCAACTTCAATTCCAGGCACTTGGACCCTTTGACCTAATACTCTTCATGGCTCCCACCCTGCGACCTTAGCGCCCTCGTCCCTAATCCCTGGGCCAGGCTGCAAGCAGGGTTCGCCTATTCTAGGGGACCGAATGGAGGGGTTGAGTGGGGGGTTGGGAGTAAGGTCGCCGCCACTGTGCAGGGAACTGCCCTCAGGTTTGTCAAAGGAGGCAGCGGCACGTGTCCCACCAGTACCCTCCCACGTGACCCCAGGAGGCGGGGTCGCAAGACCCTCCCCACGTGACCCCAAGGGGCAGAGACCCTCCGCACGTGACGGGGGGGTGGGTGGGCAGGCGGGAGACCTACTCACGTGACCGGGGGGAGGGGGTGCGGGAGCCTGTGGCTCTGCCCGGCCCCGCCCCCAGCTCCCCGGCCCTCTCCACTCCCGGCTCCGGAGCACGTCGCTCTCACGATTTATGGGGCCGCGGCTGCCGCAGTGAGGGAGCCGGGGAGCCCGGGCGCAGCGGCAACAAAGGCCGGGGAAACGAGGCGGGGGCGGCGGCTGCCTCCCAGCCCGGTGCGCACCCCCTCCTACCTTCGTCGGTCCAAGTCGGCGGGGGAGTGAGGAGGGCCAAATGGGGACTCCCGGCACCCGGCTTTCCCCACCCCCTCCAGGGCTTTCACCTGCGCTCAGGTGTATGCGGGGGAGGGGAACCCGATCTACTCCCCCCACCCCGGCCATTCCCACATCCCTTAAGAACGTGGAGGGGGGGTGCCCTGAAGGTGTCGAGGAACCTGGAGTCCCTCACCTTGGCGCTCGCGACTCCCCGCCAGAGCCGGGAGGGGGGCAGACGTGGGAGCCTATGGGGGAGGTACGAGCCAGGGCGACCAGGGTAGTCAGTCCCCGGCGTCCCCCAGAGTGTTTCGAGTCCCGTTCCCGGAGAGTGGGGGGAGGGACCGCATCCCCACCCCCGGGGTTTCCATGGGAAGCGAGAGGGGGGCGTCGTTGGCTCATCCCCACCCCCAGTCTGACACTCCGGGCGCGAGGAAAGGAGAGAGGGGGAGGCGCGGAGCCCCAAACAACAAAGAGCAAAGCGCTGCACGGCAGCCCCTCCCCCGGGAGGTTGGGGGTCGCGGCCGCCCGGCCCTCCCGGCCCCCTTCCCTGGGGCCTTGACATCTGTGCTGGAGTCACCTCCTGGGGTGGGGAGCCAGGGGCAGTGCCGCCGCCGCCGCCCGGGCAGGTGTGACAGTGACCCCCATGTCCCTAGGGAACAGCCCCCCCAACACCCAGACACACACGGAGGCGGCCTGGGTGATCCACACAGCGGCTTGGCGGGGAGAAGACAAGGACAGCGAGCAGAGAGAGTGAGGACCTGGCCCAGCAGCCGGCAGCCGGCGGCCGCGCCACACACCCCGGGAAACCGCACGGCCGCCCTGACAGCCGCCCAGCCGAGACGCGGCCGGCCACGCGGACCCCGGCCGCAGCCCCCTCCCGACGACCGCCGACGCAGACATACAAATCACACGCTCAGACACACACGCGCACTGACAGCCGCGCACGCCCGCTCACACTTGGAGCCACACGCCGTCCCCAGCCCGGGCGTGTGTGTGCGTGTGTGACACGCCAACAGCTCCCTGCCTCCTGCTCCCCCGCCGGGAGCCCACGTTCCCATCCTGACCACGCAGCTCTCCCAGGGACCCCCAACTCGGTGACCCAGCCCCGGCTCACCCCAGCCTGGCGCAGCCACCTAACCAGGACACCCGCTCGCCTGCGTTCTTGGGGAGGTGCACGGTCGCACTCCTCCCTCCCTCAGCCCAGCTCTTACTTTTAACAGCAGCCACCCTACCAAAAAACCCACCAAAAAACCCTTGACACTGGCTCGACCGAAACAGGTCAGGGCTGGGCCCCCCAACTGCGGCGGCCTATCTCCAGTACACCGGCACCCCCAAAGTCCCCCGACCAAATAGGCTGAACAAGGGGGAGGGCTGTAGGACCGGAGTCTGCGATTCCAGAGGCGGGTGTGAGGTGAAGCCGTGGTGGGATTGGGGGATCCCCGAGCAGCCTCGGTGCACAGCCCTAGCCTTCCCTACCACAGCCTCACAGCCTCTCTCAGACACCCCTCGAGTTTCACAGACGCCCACAGAGTGCATTCCCCTTTCCCTCGCCTCCCAGCCTCCAGCTACGGTCTCCCAGGACTCCCACCCCAGGCTCCCCTAGGACTTCCCCGGGCCCACCAGCTTCCCCTCGCAGAGACACGGGACGCGCGGGCTTCCAGGGCCCCCGACTCACTGCTGATTGGAGCTGTTCCAGTACACCGCATGCCGGTTTCCCAGAGCACCCCCTGGCCCCTGGGCCAGCAGCGGCAGCAGCGGCACGGGCACGAGCAGCAGCAGCAGCAGCAGCGGAGCCGCCGCCATCCCCGGAGCCGCCGCCGCCGCCGCCCCCCGACTGAGCCCCGCGCTCCCGGCTTCGCCGCTTCCCAGCTCCCTGCTGCCGCCGCCGGCCCCCAGCCCTAGGCCACGCCCCCAATCCTCCCCTCCGCCCTCCCGGGCGCGCCCCCGAAGCCCCGCCCCGGGCGCGCTCCCGCCAAGCCCCGCCTCATCGGCTGCCAGAGCGCGCGGCGCGTGGGAGGAGACGGCGCTGATCTCTCGGGAACGAGCCTGCGCGCTCCTGGCCATTCCCTCCTGGGTTCAATTTGTTACCACCGATCCTGAGCCTCCCCTGTCTGCAGTTCCCAGGAGAAGGATTAGGGAGCCCATGATAGGGGTCTCCAGTGGGCATGTTTATTTCTGGGATGGGATGAAGGAAGAGATTTAAGAAGAAGCTGAGGGTTCCAGGAACTCCTCAGAAGTAGGACTGGACTCCTTGTCCCTTTCTGAACAATCCATGTCCCTCTTTGTCATGTGTATGAGAAGTCAGGTGTGCCTAGGAGGGTGGTAGAGAAATCAGCAGCTGGCACCAAGGACCTGACAGCTGGTGGCATGAAGTCCCCAAGTGGGCCTGAGACTTGTTTTTCTTGCAGGTGGGATGGAAGAGCTCAGCCTTTAAGGCTGTCTGTCAGAACTGGGGTCTGGAAGGGCCTTTGAAAGTCCAGGGTCCCAGATGGAAAAGAGGGTCAAGGAATGAATTAGCTAGAGTAAAGCAGGCTCTAGCTCTGAAGGCTTTACACACACCCAAGAGTGGCCCCCTCCTAGTCCAGCCAACAGTGTCCCCAGGCATTCTCACACCTACTTTCTTCCCTAGATGCTGACACTGAAGGCAGAGAGGGCAAAGCACCTTGTATTCCAGCTCTCACCACAATCATTGTCCTCAAAGTGAAATCCAAGCACAGACATTACACTCAAGCATGTTCAGGGGAAAGACACAGACACCCAGAGGCAGAAAACACTGGCACCTGACATGCAGACACAACAAACACACAGAAAAGACATGCACATAAAGGTGCAACCAGTCAAACAGATCTGTAGATACACAGACACATAGAGGCATGCACACCCAGACATATTTACACAATGATTCTCACAAACCAACCTACAGTCTCTTACTTATACACAGAGCTCCTCCGAACCCTCCTCCCATCCCCTCTCTTCTTTTTCTAGAAAGTAGTTGAGGCAAAGGGCCCCGAACCCAGACCTAGAAAGGATTCACCTTTTATCTTTTGGACAGACCCAGTGTGACTAGGCAGAACTAGGCCTTTGACTGGGTTCTCAGAACCCAAGCCAATTCCCTGCAACCCAGAGGCATGTGAATGCTGCTATTTTACTTCTTTACTTCAGGATAAAGGACTCACAGACACCTTCCATATGCTTATCCATGGCCATCATGTCAAGGGTCTTGACCACAAGTCTGTGACAGGTGCTGTGTTTGGGGAAAGGGTAGTGCCATCCACAATGGGTTCTGTGCTTACCTGCTGCCAAGCAAGAGCAGCTCTGTCCTCCCTGGTCTCCCCTTTCTCTCAGGAGATTGCTTCTCCCTTCTCTGGAGTAAGAAAATAAATTAGGCCCCTAGGGGTGGGAGTAGGGGACTTTGCAAACAGCTCTCCCTCCCCCTGGACTCCTCAGCCCTGGGGAGATTTACCCAAGGATTCTAACCTGGCCTGCTCCAGGTGCCACAAATTGCCCCCTCCACATTCCCTTCTCTGCAGGAATAGGTTCCACACTGTAGGGCTTACAGTTGGCAGAGAGGCTGCCCATATTCAAAACAAGTGGGAGATTTTTTTTCTTTAGTACGGAACTTTAAATTCCATTTTAGAAGCCCTGAATCTCTGTTTACAGAATCTGGGTTCTCCTTAAGGATGTGAGCCCTTGTTTATAGAACACATATACTTCTCTTTAGGATCTGGTATCCTCACCCTTACCCTCCAATAATGACTGAGTCTCTCTTTCTAGAATCTGAAGCTTTCCCTGTAGGGTTGAAGCAGCTCTATGAGGTCTAAGCCTCTGATTTTTAAGACTCTTATCTCTAGGGCCTAGGCCTCTCTGTCCATGGGATTTAGTGTTCTCTCCCTCTGGGCCTCTCTGTCCACAAGGCTGCTGGCTGATACAAAACTTTGTGTGAATTATAAAAAGCACCTCTTTATGAAGACCCAATACCTAGGGTGAATCTCTTGGCAAATGGTGCCTTTGTGTAAAACAAAGGTGCTGCTTCTTTCAGCTAAGGTGGCCCTAGTATCTCCCCACCTTAGTGAGGAGTCTTGGGCTGATGTCAACATCTACTGGCTCGTTGGGTGGCTCCTTTGAGCCATCCACACATGCCATAACTCTATGTGGCAATTCTACCTCTTTAGGATGTATACTTTCAGCTATAGTGCCAAAACCTGTTCACAGACCATTATTTATGCAGTTGGGTCCTTTCTAGGAAGCAGATCTCTATGGTAAGATCTGGGCCACCATCCACATTCCAGGAGCTGATATATAGGCCAATACCCTCTCTGTGGCATAAGGGTCATGGGAGGACCCAAGTCTGTAGATGCTGTCTAGGCCTCTATCTAGAACTGATCTAATTTTCCTGACTGTGACCCACAGTACGCTATACATTTTGCATTGCAATCCAGTATAAACATATACACAGTCACACATTTAATGAAAGTTTCATGAAACAACAGTTACCCTTATTGTAGAAGAATTATTGTAATAAATTATTCTATTCTTAATATTATGTTGTTGTTGTT